CACAGTTCTTCCTTCAACAACTGCTCTTCATTAAAATGCATTAATCTACAGCAGTGTGCCTCTATGGTCCTTTGCACAAAATGAGGAAAAGTGATCTTAAAGACTTACAAGTATATTACTAAGAGGTCAGACAAGGCTTGCAAAGGAGCAAGTGCAAGTATTTAGAGCCAGACAGTCCCCACACACAGGATCCTCCTCCCATCCCTGTCACCATACCATAGCACTAGTACTCCCAGTTCCCTTGGCATGCAGAGGCAAACACCAAGCACACAGAAGGCGCTTCGTAGGCTGGCATAAGTTTCTCAGGTAGGCACAATCCCACCAAGCACAGGTTCTCAGGACAGTATTTCCTTTCAAATAATGGTCCACAGTGTTTCTAGACGGAAGGAGTAGTCAGGTACATGCAAACCTCAAGCCACAGGTGGGTTTGGGTTTTTTGTTTTGATGTGGTTTTTTAAAGGTCTAAAAGCTGGAGGAGTTTTCTATTCTGTGCTCATATTCTTTAAAGCTTCTCCTAAAGAATGTGTATTTTCACTAGTTAATAAAAAACTTCACCCTACACAACATACTCATTCTTGTCTACAAAGACAGACTTCTACATTAATTTTATTAATAGAAACCTGAATTAAGATTACAGAAAACCATTTTAGTTCTGATTTCAGGGGGCTTTTTAATTATTATTAGTTTTATTCCTCATGGAGGTTGCCCCTCTGCACATGAGCTATCTGCCTAGATGACCCGCAAAACAGAAAGACTGAAAGTAACATTGGGGCACTCCCGAAAATGTTCCACCCAGCTGGGTATACGCCCAGGTGAATACACCCTAGGAGATGGGGAAGAGCCACAAGTAGTTTATCTTCTTACAGCTAGCATTTCAATTTATATGCTATTTTAACTGTCACGCACTCAAAGAAAATGTCAAACTTTTCTTCATAACTATGAAACTTCTGAAAAAATTACATTATGTTCTCAAGCCAGTGACTCCAGGAGTCAGATCCTTCAATGTTGTCATAAAGGACATTCAGTTTACCCTGCATGCAAAGTGGCCGGCTTAGTTTATGAGAAAAGAAGAACTGCATGTTTTGGCAGATGGCTAGAGAAGAAATCTCTAGGTTCTGGGGTAGGCTATTTCTGTCCTAGCATAATAATGAGAACTTTAAGAAACAGTTTTTTCTCTTTCTTTCTCAGATCTCCTGTGCTATAGGAACTTTCACTCAGGTGGTTTTGGATTACCAGTTGGGTTTTGTTCTTATATTGCTGGAAAAAGTGTAAAGAACTAGGTTGAGTTCTGCTGGTTTGAAAAGGAGAAAGAAAGAAAAAGGCACTGATATGCCAGTACAAATATGTACTGGTGATTATATCAACCTGCCTTAAATTAGATACTGATTTTGCAGTTGCGTTCACAGGGACAAGCTCACATGTGGTGTCAGTCTTCTCTCCAGTCAAAAGACCATGTTTTCTTCGCTTATATGTTGTGTAGCAAACATTGCCCACTGATCCTAACTAATACCTTAAACAAAATAAAGGCACAATATTAATTATCTTTCTTCAAAGCTACTGATTTATGCAAAAGTTCTTTGGTACGACTAAAGCCCCTGGCATTCTCCAAAAACTGCAAAGTAGCCAAACTGAGAAGAATGGAATGTAGTTTTCAACCTTTTTGAAGTCTGGCTTGTTTAGCTGTTCAGTGTTTAAACTACTTAATTCTAATAGGAATATGTTTAGTTTGATTCTAAGTAATTTCTTTATGCATGTTAACAAATATTTTATAGGTATTTTTACAATTTATTTCTAGCAGATAGTTGTGGGTTTTTTTGTTAAACAAGAACTAATGAATAACCTTAAAACCACTAGAAACCTATCGAGTAATTTCTAACATAGTTCCTATACGTATGAACATACTATGGAAAAATTACTTATAGCTCCCCTACTCAGTTTTTTTGAAGTGTTGCTTTATACAAGTCAGATGCCACAAGTCCCTCAAGAAACTAGATTTTATTTTCTCATTATGGAATGCCAACTTTTAAATAATTACTATTTTATAATGCCTATAATATTTGGCAGTTATAGCAGTGTAGTATACACAAAGATCAAAGGATTCATTCACAAGCAAAAAGCATGAAATATTCTCTGGCAAGTGGGATTAAAGTATAATGAACTCAAAATCAATGATTCCTGCATAATTTAAACTGATCAAAAAGTTTCAAGCTGCTACAACTATAAACTAAAACTTTTATAATTAAAAGATGAACAAGACAACGTGATATTGACAGATAACTAACACCACTGACTTTGTGAGCACTCACAGCTCTAACAGAAGGATGAAATTAAGATACTTTCTCAATTCATTTCTGTGAAATTTCATTTCCACTGGGGGTGTGTGGGACATATGAATTGCTTTAGTTAAGTTTCATGCTTTTTCAAGTGAAAGTTGTTGATTCAGGCACTCCAAACATTATTAATACAAGTTTCCACCCAGAATTTGTATCTTCTATACACCTTAAGACTCTCGATCCAAAGCTAAGAAAGGTCATCCTAAACCCCCTAGCAAGTATAAACTAAAGTCTCTTGAAGTTCATATAAATACTTCATCTGCTGCGGTACTGAGATTTCCAGTTGGTCGATTCCTTAAGTGAAGAAGAGCATCTTTTTTGAAAAAGAACAGAGCACATACTATGGAAAACAGCCCTCCCTGTGTGAAGGCATTCCCAACACTGACTCCATCTGCAAGTCGCTATAAAGGGTTCCCTTGACCTGAAACCATTTTTGATAGCTATAGCATTCACAAGTCTAGTTCTGAAAAGATCCAGAAACCACTTTTAATCCCACCAAAAGACAAACTGCCAAAACACTTATCTAAAATTCTTTAGATATCAGTGGTCACAGCCACTATAGCAAGTAATTTGGCACAGCAAGACCAGAACAACAGATGAAAGTAGCCTGTGCTGAGCCTTCCCATCTATACTGTATGCGGTTCAGGACTTTTGCTTCAGACTGTATGTAGCCTGGTCTCCTGGACCAAACATGCTTTGAAGCTGTTAGGAGAGTCAAACCCAGTGAGTGATTCTTATGTACTGCTTGGGGCCAGAAGCACAGTTGGTGCACACCTGGAATGGAGGTTCTGGTTTAGTTTCCTCCAAAAGAAATCTAGCTCACGCATAGCAAAATCATTCTGCAATAAGTGGGGGCACTCTCTTCAAAACTGTGCTACTGCTTTGAATCAAAACCCTAACAGAGAGGTAGAGAGTTACCTACCACTGTCTGGTTCTCTAGGCCTTTCATCTACTTGTAAACCTCTCTGCTCATACCTCTCTTCTGGACTTAATTTGTAGCTTTCGGCCCTTCCTTAGACTTCCCGAATTTTTTTCCCATTTCTGCTTTTTCCTGCCAAACACTTTGCAGTAACTTTTCTCTCTAAAAGCCATATCCAAATAATACACGCCAGCTAAAAACAAACACTCAAGTGAAATGACCAACTGATTTTCATGCAGTACTTCCACTACCATAAGGTAACACATCCTTTTTTGTAACAAATGTTGCAACTCATCAAGTTCAACATCCACTAGAAAGTGAACTTCTGTCTTACAGGTCAAGATGTTACTATTTATCTGGACATTTTACTTAAAATGCTCAAGTTTCCTTCAGCAGCTATGCTCACGATGATTACACATGAACTACATGTTACCTCATCACATCATTAGATGATGGTACAGATGAAGAGATGTTCTTGAAACACTAATTTCTGTCTTAGGTGCCCACTTTTCTCAAAAGCAGTCTCTGAAGTAGCTTAAAATTATGTGGATATGAAGCTATTACTTCACCCGCTACCACTGTGGGTAGGGTACTACCCACTACTATGCACTGCATATGCACATGGAAACCTCATCGCTGACCCTAGGTCGAGTAGGACCCTGGCATTTTTCTAGCTTAGTTTCTTGTCCGTCTGCAATACCTCTGTCCCACAATCAAATCCTATGTGAAAGAGTTTGACGTGTCCAGGGCACACCATGCTTAGAAGGAAAGCCCTGCGTGGCATGCAGTCCTGCTGTCGGTGGAGACAACAGGAGATGAAGATAAGGAATCCTAGCCTTAGCCACCGGCAGCAGAAATTGTAACCAAGTGCTAATGAGCTGAAGTGAGCTTTTGACTTCAGCATGGCACTAGTTAAAAGAAGCTTCCTGAAAGAAATCTAAGCGTTTTTTTACTTCTAGAAATTCTCTAGTTAATAACCTCTTTTGCTGACAGCTATGGGTTTAGTTACACATACTTAAACGTTGAAAGAGTTGTCTTTGAGGTTCTCCAGAAGTCTCAGGTATCCTACTGGAGGGGACATGCTCATGAATGCTTTTGCCAGTGGCAAGCCCTATCAGACTTGATGAGACCTTCATCAAGCATATTAAGAAATAAAGCTTCAGTCCAGGGTCCCAGGACTGGCGAGTCCTCAAAACACAAGGCGTTCCTATCATCCCAGCATGATTCAACTTGCTGTCCAAAAAACAGATCCAGCAGCCTTTGATCTTCAAAGATGACAGGGAACAGCCTTTGAGGCAGCCAAATGCGTCTTTCTGCATTACCAGATTGCTACAGAGACAGGCAGATGGGTGGAGCAGCCTCCGCGTTCCTACCATAGAAGCAGCCCAGTTCTGTGTTAAATTATAGCAGCACAGAAGAGTACATATGGCAAGTGGGAGAAGAGGTCCCAAATTCAGCTGTGCAGCTGCTAGGTGGGACCACCCTGTTCATACACACATCGAAGAGACACTTGTTTTGCTACATTGAAGTCAGAATGAGCCAGTCACAGAAATGGCAGAACCCGACACTAAACACCCTGCTTCAAACGGACCTTTCACTAGTACCTAGCTATGTCTCACATTGGGAAATATTTTAACACGTCTGTGTGAATCTTGTCTTTAGGACAAATACAGATCAACTGTAGCGAGAAATCAGATGCACAAACGATGAAAGTTACATTACTACAACTGAGAGTAAAAATCTCTTACCTCACCAAATGCACCTCTTCCAATCACTTTTATAATTTCAAAGTCATCTCGATGGAGTTGCATTTCCTTTACCAATTTTGTAAATGGTCTTGCTGTTTAAGAAAAAAAAAAATTATGAAGAGAAATATTGTAAACCAAAATAATCCATAATCCAGAGGTCAAAAGTACTCGTTGCATACAAAGTGCAATAGTAGTTTTTCAACTACTATTACAAGTACAGAAGGAAAAAATATTAATTACATTATTTAATTAACACTTAGGATTTTTTAAAAAGTTCAGTCCTATGACTGGTTCTGCCTTGCTGCCAGTGAGTAAAGAGCAAAGCAGTCTTCCAGAAGGATTTCCCCTTCCCCCCCTTCTTTAGAGTTTTGTGACTCAGTGAAGGACCGTGTAAAAGGGAGAGACCTGATTCATTATTGGTAAACCCTAGAGAAAATCTGTCCTATCCTTCAGCCTCTAGAATAATTCTCTTCTTAAGCAGAGTTCAGCTTTACTTTTCATTACTTTAGTTAGTACCAGCTAAAGCTTTAACAAGCCACTCTCAAGAGAGAGCTGTCTCTACTCAATAGCAATGAAATAATTTTCTACAAGATCTGTGGCTAATTTAAGATTTCTTCTTTGAACTATCTTTTCTGTTAAACAACATTCACCAGATCTCAGTTAAACCAAGTATTGAAGGGCTGCAGCCTAAAAGATGTCCAGCAATTAACTAACCTACACTTACTATGTACTGGTGGTCCCACTGGATTCAAGACATTTCTCAAAATATCTGGTTGATGAATTCCACTGTACCTGCAGATCCCATCAATTTTCTCCTCCCCAGTTCCCATTCAGAATATTTTATTTATTTCTAGCACATCACAGGATGAGGATTACTGTTCAGATACAACATTTATTACAATTCACTACTCTGATTATTAACCAAATCAATAAGGAAAAACAGTGGTGCAAGCTGAACAGCACAAGAGCAAGTACAGTGTCTACAAAGCAGCAGCTTAAACTTCTAATCACAAAGAAGATTGCTCCTCTTCACCTCATCACAAACATTATTAGACTAAACAGACTGAAGCTTTTAAACACATGTATTTTTCCCATTTGCAACTGAATAAAACATCACAGAACTACTACTTGTAATTCAGCACAGACTCCCATTTTACCTCACCTTACATTATGATTAAGCTAATGACTTATAAGCCAAACAGAATTCCTACAAGAGGGTCACTGCCTTGATGATGTATTTCAGATGCTAACACAAACAAACCAAACCTTACAAACACAGAAGATACAGAAGTCTGAACCGGAGATTACAGAATTCAGTATGAAGTCTAACCAAGAAAGCCTGAAAACCTCTCAGCAAAAATTCATGTAACAGCTAACAAAATGAAGAAATAGCTGTAGTGAAGAACAGTCATGCTGCTTCTTTGTACCTAGGAGAGGTGTTACTGAGAGAAGGTTTCCCCCACAAGTAATACCCCTTTCACTGAATGTTTCTTGTCTATCCGAAGCACAAAATTTAAGAATGAGACTCTCAGATTTTCTGCTAGATTCGCCATTTCAGCTGGGCAGAAATGCCTACCACGGTCTCCCCCACCACAAGGCCACTGAGACTATCATCTCCAAACCCCAAATTGTTTCTAACAAACTTAACCAGCAACACCAACTCAAATCAGTTAGAGACCTATACCAGTCCAATCAGACATTTATACAAGTAAATACCACTGCTGATGGCTGTGATGTATATCAATTATTTTGCAAGGTTCTCTTGCCTCCTTCCCATCAAATAGGACAGATTAAGAAAACCCAACTACAGATTAGAAATAAATGGGAAAGTTTCATTATCAAGTTATGGATCACTACTACAGAATACAGGTCATTAGACTAATTTTGCAGAACACCAGCTTCTGTTACTAAAATTCAAGGGGAGGGGAAATGAAATCCAGTAATTTTACTTCTGGGGGATACTAACCCAAGAGTAGTTGTGTGGTGTGGTGTTTTTTTTTTGTTTTTGTTTGTTTTTTTTTAAGAAATAACCAATTTTACCAATAATTCTAGTCAGTAAACCGAATGCCAAAATAATTTGTTTAAGTATTTATAAAAAACCCTGCTGCTGTAAATTGATCCCAAGCAACTTTCAAAGCAGGAAGACACAAACCTACGCAAGAGTAAGCTGTCTTGTACACTTAAAAGAAACCCCTTATTCCTTACATTTTTCTTGTTTTGTCAACTGGTGACAAAATATTTTACTATTTTATCTACAGTTTTTCTTGCTTTGAAGTGTATCAAACTTCACCTCGCTAAAACTGGGATTTGGTTTAGAAATGCATTAAGTTGTATTAAAGCAAGTGAATTCAATTAGTTTTATATTTTAAAAGATAATAAATATTATGTATCAACGAGAGCACGCGCTTAACTTTGAGTAAAGAGAAGAAATAGTGTCTGCAAAAAAGGGCATTAATTCTGTCTTTTTAGGAATTGTATCCTTCAAGAAGGAAGGATTAGCAGACATCGTTCTCTTTACCACCATTTCAATTAAAAACATGAGGGAGTCCTAGGTTGGTCCTGCTTTTTGCATCTCAAATGGTCAACTGAAGTACTACATATTAAAATGAATTAGTTTAGTACATGTAAATGAAAAAAATATCCCCTCCTAAAAGGAAGTTACTATTTTTACAAGCTATTTGTGCACTTAACTAATGTTGGCTTTTAGTATTTATCGGGTGTTGGTGTTCAGAAACACTGCAACTACAGTGGTCTCTCTCTTGGAAAGCTAAGCACTAACCACGAATACTTGAATGTACAGAAAAATTTTAAATTGGATAGGACTTCCCCTGAAATGAAAAAATTCACATCTTTGTCAAGGCATCTAAGATTCCTTAAAAGTAAATAAAATTTGAAAATAAAACCTAGTATCCACAGAATCTCATCACCACAGAGATAACACCAGAGGCTGTGCAGCAGATGAGAGCTCAGAGGATACCAGTAATTCATTTAAACTGCTATTTACTTTATTGGTGTTTTGGAGTAGAACCCTGTTTACACCAGGATGTGACTTGTTGCTTTTAAGTACTAAATTGTACAATTTTCACCTCTAAGTAAGTTAAATCAAAAAAATATTTCCAATTTGCTTTCCCGCTCCTCCCCAGGGGGTTGCTCTTCCTCAACACTCAAATATCCAGATCAGTAGCATGCACAGAACTGGCAAAATTGAGTGAGCAGAAACTTGCACCAAAAATTATCAGAAAGCTGTGTTCGCTGTGCTTGCCAGAATGATGCCAAGTGATACACCCACCACTATATAACTGGTAAAAAATTCCAGTTTCTCCTTTTATGTATCACTATTTTATAAATAGGGAACTCAAAGCAAACTTCTCTCCATATACTGGAATGAATAATTACACATTACTGATTAGTTTTGATCCTAATATTAAAAGCAGGACTTATGATTTGGAGTTGATTTAATACTTAATGAAAGTATTCCATCCTGGCAAACAGAAGCATTAGCTGTACTGGGGGTTTTGTTGGCAGTGATTACTGAATTTTGTTATATATACTGTTGTCAGGGTAACATTAGCTGAGAGTAATTGCAAGAGTTTGTTTATTCATGACTGTGAGGCTGTAATCAGAATTTGGGATAGGTGTTCTATGTGCAATATATTTGTATGCATCACTGCCTTTTGTCTCAAGCTGATTTTGCATTATTGTACTTACACTTGTTTGGAAGAAGGGTGTTCTCCATAAGGCCACACAAGAGGGGAAAAAAAAAAACCCAACTAATTTTAAGGAGCCAAGAAATGTATGCTCTCAAGAATATAATACAAAATAGTAACAGTCTATGTTTTGATCAATATTCATAACGGGAAGTGAAATGCCAGCATTTATTTCTTCATCAAAAACCAGAGTAGGTATGAAAGACATAACTCTCCACTCACGAAGAAATTCTATTCCTATCATATTCTCCTCTTCCCCTGATAGATGAGACTAGGATATTTTGTTTGCACAAAAAGAAAACGTCAATTTGAATATTTTGAAAATATAATTTGAAGCGCAGTCATAGGTAAACAGGTTTGTGATTGAGGTCTGTGAGCTGGTGCATCTACACTGCAGTCAATTTGTATTATCCCACCTGATAAAAGATATTTGAAGACTATTTCAGAACAACTAAAAGCTGCAGGAAATGCCAGTGGAGATGATGTGACATGGCAGACTGGGCACTCTGCACTGCTACCCCAGTCAAGGTCAGAAGCGTACGTCAAATTTCCTCTAATTTCTGAAAGCAGGTCAGAGAAGGATGGTGGTATTGTCAACATCACCCTCAAAAAATAATAGGACAACTTTTCCCAAGCTAGAATGTGGTTAAAAATGAGAAGTGTTGAGGTATGTTTTGGATTTTTACTTTCTGTTCAGATTCTGAACCTTCCAATTTATGTCAATAATTTACTATCTGGAATCACAAAAGCTAGCACCTTTACATTACAGTGGACAAAAGACTACCCACTGGGTTTACGATTACTGCTTCAGTGGTTGAGTTACCCAACGGCTCTAATTTGAGGACTCCTGTGTATTTTGTTAGGCAGTGCAAGTTTCCAGAAATTCAGAGTTACAAAAATCACTGAGTCGAAGCTGCCAAATGTTCAAGAACATCTGATGTTTTGTATCATTGGCAGCTTCAAGTTTTAAACAAATGTGACAACTGCAAGAAAATAATACACAGGCTTACAGGTCTCTTTCAACAATTCAGGTTGAAAGGGACCTCAGGAGGTCTGTAGTCCAACCTCCTGCTCAAATCACAGTCAATATTGGTTTCAGACCAGGTTACTCAGGGTTTTCCCTGGTCAGGTCTCAAAAACTTCCAAGGATGGAGACTCCATGGCCTCTCTGGACAACCTATTCATATACTGGACTGCCCTGCACCAGATAGTTTCATGGTTCAGAACTGATCTTTTAAGTGATTTGGGGTTTAAGTCATTACCTAACACGATGATAATATTCAGGTACATCTACCCAGAAGGTATGTCCAAACTGTCTGGTCATACAGAAATTCATCTGCCACCATGCTCGCTTTATCTACTCATCCCCTTTACAAAACAT